ATGCCTCCAGAAAGGAAGGCTAAGCAACTGCTCCTTGCAAATCCGACCGGCAAAAGGCCCAGGGGACGGCAAAGATTAACCTGGTGCAAACATATGCAAGGAGTCTGTTCCAGACTGCGTTTGTCTTTTGCCGAAGCTCAGACTCTGGCACAGGATCGGGAACGCTGCAAGCACTGTCTTACGCTTCTGCCTCCGCGACCCGAAAGGAGAAGCGGCGATGGAAGATAAAGACGAAGATGGCTTAAACGACGCCGCGACTTTGATGCGTAATTCGTTGTAATGAATTATATGAATCATCTATCATTATTTTTTAATACCAATTGGGGTTAAAGAATCAATTGTGTTCGGGTTACGAGGATGCAGCTAATCGTAACACCGTTTATGTGATGAAGATGTTGGATATATACTGATGGAGTTCATAAAATGAAACTGTTCTGTGTCTACACACCACGTTGAAACATAATAGACACTAACCTGCTTAAATGGCACTGACTAGACTTTTAGAAACGACGGGCGGAAAGATTCTGTCGAATGCCCGGTGCAGTGACTTGAATGAGTCATTCTACACGGCAATACTGGTGGAAGCCAAATCTATTTGTTATAAGTGAAAGCCCAATATACAATAATGTTTACGGGCTAAATGGCATTCTTGATGATGTCACGAGAATATATGTGGTTCAAGTTACACCCCTACACACGCCGCTGTCACGAACAGATATGCTGTTACAGACAAAATAGCAACGCTAAAACGCTGCGCATCCCCGCAATGCAGGTGCTCAAATACCACGTTGCTTTGCGAACTAAAATGCCTCCTTTCCATAGACCCCAAGAAGTAAGGGGATGGCGCGAATTTGGTGTATAACAAGTGTAGTGACTTTTATGAGCTGTTCCAATCGACGAAACCAACCCTAATTCGTTTTTTGCCTCATCGTCACCAGCCTTTGTCGATTCGCTGCTGGATGAGGGCCTGTCCAAGACTTTGCAACAGAGTTCTGTTTTCTGCATTCATTTTCGTCCATCTTAATCTAAAGAACTTCTTCAGCTCATCCTGCAATCGATCTAAAGGTCCTCCTGCGGACCGTTTACTCTCTCTTGAAGCCCAATCTAATGACTCTGATCAAGCGATAGCCAATTCTTCGTGCAGCATTTTGTCCATTGCGCCCAGCCTTCTTCAACTCCGGAAATGACCTGGCAATCTCTTGTTTGTGCTCTTACCTACTCATTTGTCTTTCTATCATTTCTCGTTATTCAAAACAAATTTTTCGATGCAGTTTATGAATAGCTTTCAGGCCTATGTTGCAATTTCGCATCAACAAGTTAGTACCGTGAGCAAACACTGACCAAATACTTTCTGTTTCAAGCACAAGGACAGTTTTGTCAAACTTTACATTAGCAATGGCATTATTGTAAATCATGTATCTTTGAACCTCATATCAATTCCTTAGTTTCTCATGGAATTCATTACTAAACGCACGTAGAGGGCGCCTAAAGCTTTCTTTAAATGGATGAACCCCCAGACAGTAAGGCAGCAGATATTCAATGTTTGCCTGAATTTGCTGCTGTGCTACCTGAAGATGATTCATCGTACTAAATCCACCTTTGAAGTTTACTTGTTCCTTTGACTTGCAGCGTCCAGTATATCCTTAAGACTGTTCATCAGTATCTCTATGAAAATCTTTTAAATGATTTGCAATAAACTTATCATTCTGCACTTCCTCAAATCATCTCTGTCTCCCTTTTGAGGAGTGGAATCACCGATGAAGTTGATGGTCCAGTCATCTGCAATTTTCGGTTCCTTTAAACAGCGTGAAAACAAGCGCACAAATTATATGATTAGTGCTTAAAGTCCTGATTCCATTAGTTTCATTGTGATGTGTGTTCTCCAGGAGCTCTTATTCGTTTCGCCTATTTTGTTGCATGTCGCCTCCTTTCGGCAAAAGATATGGAATTTCGTCAGCTTCATTTGTTTCGTCAGGTTCTATATCGTTTCCAAGGGTGTTGCTATCTGCAAATGTGCAGGGTTTCGCATTGAAATCTTCCATTCTATTTAGAATCTCTTGTCTGACACCGATATCTGCTTTGAGAACTAAAATCAGTCGTTTAACAACTGTCATGCTTTGGTTCAATTTCTTCATGCTTCCGCTGTTTCGAATAGTTTGTTTTACCAATCCGCAGTTGAATGCTTGGACGTCTTTCGATCTGTTTCCTTAAAGTTTTGCAAAGTTTCACATAAACATTCTTTGATCCCTGATTTGTTGCTGCCTTCATTTATCTTAAACTGCCTCGTGATTCTTCGTTGACCTATAATATCCTTCATTCACTTCTTGATAAATTACATTAAGTCCACTGCTTCTTCTTGCATATCGTGGGGAACGTAGAAACGGTTATTCAGTTTGAGTTGGAATTACAACGTCTCTTCTTTGTGTTTCCACGTTACGTCGAGTGTCTTGCATCTCATGCTCAGCAGTTTCCTTCTTTCTAGAACTGAATCCAATCATACTTTGCACCTGCAATGACTGCAATCGCTTACTACGTTAACCTGTTCAACAACGCGACGTCACGCACTGTGGTCTTCACGGTGATGAGGAGAAAATCGATTTCTCTGTCACCTGTCATTCCTTACTCCGTAGCCAACTCGGCCCATACGACATTCATTTTCTTCCCGCTGTCTGAAGTTGGCGCTGAAATCGCCAATAACTGAATTTAAACGACTCTTTCCATGACCACGCACCACTTTTCTACTACTCATTTCTGTTACGTAGTAGAAATCTTTAATTTCTTCCTCAGGATGACTTGATGTCAGCGCTTGATGTCTGGATCACTTCGAGTCAGTATGACTTTGAAATTTGAAATTCCCAGAATCCTTCTGAAATGCGTTTCAGTCTAACTACATTGTTTTTTAACCTTCTATGAGTGACGAACCCTACTACCTCTGTAATTCTATTTGCCGATCCTCTGTAGAACGCAAATTATTAAGCTTTAAAAGCCTCTCTTCCTTTCATCTGTCGTCACTGAGTCATACAGTAGCCTACGTGATTTTCCAAAGATATTTTACCAGTTCTTAAAGTCTTGCTTCACCCATGAGTGATCTGTAGTTCTACGTTGCCAGCGTTAGAAAATAGTAACAGTTCCGATTCGTAAACCGGAACTTTTAGCATCTTCCCCGTTACTTATCGTAAGCTGCTGCCATCGCCAACGGCAATCTAGCCTCTGAGGAATAAGGACCGTGATTTTAGTTTATATTTCATTTTGAAGGATTTGACAACAACGCTAGCGGAGAATATTTTTTTAAAGCTTTTGCACCATGGATGCATCTGCCAGAACTCAGACCTCAGCTGTACACTGTCTTGAGAATCAATAGCCACTCTCCTACCATACGTGGGCAGTGGAATTAAAACTTATGGGTTTTAAACCTAAAATCATAAAATTCATAAGAGCATATCGATGAGGAAAGATAAGTCTAGACATGCAGCGGCTTGGTTAGTAACTGAAAATACAGGGCAATGTATCGACTTTCAAGGGACTGAAAAACAACAAAAATGAGCAAATTACCCCTCGATTCATGAACTCCTTATCTATAATTTTCGTCACGAGTTATGCAAATTTAAGCCTATTCCACGACTTGTTTGCTACAACTGAACAATCACTGTTTGCTAAAACGAACCAACAATCTTTGTATAAGCGCTTACTCTGTGAATGACGAATGCGGAGGAATACAGCAGTATGCAGCACGTGGCAGATGCGAGGATGGCTGACTTATCACAACTAACCAGGTGTGCTTGTTGCGATTATTAACTCAAACCGTTTAAATATAAGCAGAACACCTTGGGTTACGACGTTCGGTACACTCCCCGTTTTTCAACATCCTTCCTACAAGGTACCGGTTACCCATTAAAAAAATTCTCTCCGAACGTGGATTTGCTCGTATATTTACGATTAAAATACGTACTGCAAGCCAGTTTTTAATGTGGGCAATTGTATTGCTTGTTTGAGTTGACGCGGATGTTTATACTGTAACTACGGCAACTGTAGTACGTTGTAAAGGTCTGATCTAACACATTAACAACGCATTACACTATTAAATATGTAACAATCATAATAAATAAACAATATTATACTTATTTTATGATTCTTCCTTATAATTACATTGTGTATGTTTCTCTACGTATCTTTCCTTTGTTATTGTACAGTACTCTAATACGTGCGAAACACATCGGGATGCATTTGTGTGAGCTGTGAACCAGTCAGAACATTTTACACTGCAATCATATGGGAATTTCAGTTTCGATTAGGAATTTTCAACTTCCATGGAACGAACCACATTCGCAAATAAAGGCTTAGGTTTACTGGCGTAAATAAACTCCAACTGGGTTGAAAGCTAAACACATAAGATTCATAGCAACTTGCTCACGAGGCTAAAGATAGGCCATAGGAAGCAGGAGGCAGTGACTGGCAAAGTAATGTGCTTCGTGACGCATCGACTCTTAAGGAGCTCCTTTATAGAGCGAAAAACAAACCACCTGATAGATACACATAATGCACACAACGATTGGACAAAACTACCAAAGGAAAACTTTGAAAATTTCGCATGCCTCAGAAAAACAGACGCACCAGTGCAACATTACTACCCAGGAGCCACGACCTACAGCACGACACTGACCAATACGATGTCCACACTAATTTAAACTGGTTATCCGATGGACAAACAAGGAACAAATCGAAAGGGCAACTTTTATTTATGCAAATAACCAAACACACCTAGAGCGGGAAAAAGCGGCAAGTTAGGATAAACTTAAGATCCACTATCCCATTAAAAAGACAGAAAAGCTGTGAAGCTGTACCACTTCGATGTATCCTCATCTCGGAAGACGTGATGTCCGTCGTAACATTGAAATACGGAATCCACAGGTCCTCGATTTGCAAGTCGCCGAAGGCGCGGCGTAACATTTTGTTCAACGATTCACCTGCGGTTTCAGGTTTCAGTGAAGAGCGCACGTTTTGCGACAAGTCACACACACGCATTAACTGACTTACCGGTGAACATCGCACACACGGGATAGGTGAGATCGAAAATCTTTGGCCAGAACGAGGCAGCCTCCTGAAAAATCAATCGAACTACCGTCACCACCGATCGGAAACATCAGCCAACGACGACCAGTACGCAGTGCACACCGCCACCGCCACCACTCACCTGGAACATCTTCTTCACCTTCATGTACATGTTAGAGATGTCCGGGTCAGCACAATATACACCGCCGATGAACGCGCCGATGCTAACACCGGCGACAATGTCTACCGGAATCCGCTGCTCTTTGAGCGCTTTGAGTATACCAACGTGGGCGGCCCCTCTAAACACATGAACATGGTATCGTCGGCTGAAAATCAGTTGAATGTTATATACCGGGCACCACCACCACCAAGTACCAGCCCTATGGAATGAGACGTCAGGCAGCGAGCTAAGCGGGACACGTCAGAGAAGATGTTCGGCGGCTGAGCCAAAATCGGCCGGTACAACTCCATCTATGGTGGAAGAGTGAGCAATGACGAAGTACGAAGTTACGTACGGCCTACCAACTTTCTGGGCGACCGTCTGCTAAACATGCGACGCTGCACACGCAAGTGGTGATGGGCCGAAATCCATCCACGATGATCGAGCCAATCAGCCGTTTTCTTAGGCCTCACCGTGTCCTCCTTCCATAACAGGATCAACTGCTTCTGAGCGCGAACGGCTAGGTTCTCCAATTGTTGCTCGACCTAAATGCAACACAGCTGTTATTGATAAGAATATCTTCTGAGAACCGAGACAGAACCTGACATGACCAGTAAAGACTTCAAAAACAGAATATGAATTTTACTTGACCTACGCTTAAGACACCATCTTAGATATTCAGTCCTAACTAAACCACGACAAATTCGCACTACTGATCCTTCGACCGCGTTCAGTGTTATATTCTTCCAATAACCAGCGTCATTCTACGTGCGCCGATGCCCTACGCTAGTATCTGATTAGTCAGATGAGTAATTTGAAATCTACGGGAAAGAAAAATAAGAAAAGAACGAAGAACAGGGGTAACGCCTCCATGCTTTACGGTGATCGTCGCACTGGATAGCTAGCTATCAGGTGGCTCAAGGCAAACTGCAGCCATAGCTGACGCTCGCATTAGACAGCAGGGTCACACTACCTCGCCATTCTGGTAGACCACCCCAGAACAGCACGCTGTCCCGATGGTTCGCAGTTCACTGTCTTGCAATCTGTTTCTCGACTGGTTGCACCGAAATAAACAGGGGTTAATTCCTCGCTCAAGTGAATTAGCAACGCAGAAAAATTTCTACTTTCAGATTTTCGAATCCGGCAATTCCAAGTCTCGAAGCCGACACTTTATCACTGTGCCACCGCGACCCATGTAAAATGTCAGACTTTTAGTTGGAAATTTATTAAAAAATCGAACTGTCTATTAAATAAAATACTGGTATGAAACTGAAAAATACACAATCATTAGCTTAACGCGATGCTAAATATAATCTGAATAGATATACAGCGGTACCTCGAGTCACGAACGCCTCTAGTCACGAACAACTCGACCCACGAACACAATTTCCGAACAAACTT